TCGTCACAGTTGCTAGGTGACATGATGTACGCCGGGGTAAGGAGGGGAGGCTAGACCGTCCAAMTCCACAGCCTCTTTTTTTCCGGTCTTCCTGGTCTACCAAGGACCCGGCCCACCGAGACCGGGTGGGCTGGGTCCTCCGGAGGACCCGGCCTGTCGTTTTGGACGCAGCCTTAGAAGCATTAGCAGAAGTTAGCGTCAGATACCCAGCGTGATGTCATCATTCTGCGACACAACAATGGCAGCTAGCCACCACATTAAAAATTTAACATTTAAATTTAACATTTAATTAAAATGATCTAAATGTAAGAACAGTGAGATAATAATAAAATGTCAGTGGAAAAACTTTAACACTCAAAGTGAGTCAGTTTTTCAAATAAAGAAAAATGTTAAAATATTTAAAAATTAGCTAAAGCATAATAAAAAATATGCTGCAGGACCACTACTTTCATCTAAAGCCCTAAAATCACAGCAACAAACAGGATGGACTTAAAGACATCGTAGTACTTTTTTATGGGGAAAAGTTTTTAAAGCTGAAAAGTACAATATTTACAGAAGTATTTTGATTTAAAATACACAGAGGACCCTAACCCTACAGGGTGAACGCTGACTCAGCATGTCCACAAAGACTGACCCTGACCAGACGTTTGTCCTGTTCCAGCTCGTATGTCCGGTTTGACATCCTGCAGAGGATCCTGACCAGATGTTTTGGGATCACTGTGATCCACGCCATGGTCATCACAGACATCGACGATAAGATCATCAGGAGGAGCAGGGAGGTAACGTCCAGTTAGAGCGTGTCCTTACTGCTGCTCCAAACCTCTGTCCTGAGCCCGTCTCTGTTGGACAGGAACATGTGTCCCCGGCTGTCATCGCCAGGATGTACGAAGACGAGTTCAAGAGAGACATGTTGTCGTTGAAGGTGGGTTTCACCCCCACRGGGACGGGTACTAACATCTGTGGGGGATGGGTTTAGGACCAAGGTCTGAATGAAGTCTAGGTTAGTTTTAGAGTCAGGTCCTGTGAGCAGTGATGGAGAAAGTACTCAAACACTGTACTTAAGTAAAAGTACAGMTAAACACACAAAAATGTACTCTAGTAAAAGTACCACAACAACATTTTTACTTGAGTAAAAGTAAGCAAGTACTCACTTTTAAACGTAGAAGTACTTGCTGAATGTATTCCCTAATGGTCTACAGCATCATGAAGTGTGCCTACTGTGTATTTTTAATACATCGAAGGTGTAATTTTAGTGAACAAAGCTGCAGATAATACATGTTTTTGTGTTTTACCCTCTGTGACCACAGCTACACAAGCTGTAAATTCACCACCAGTGCTTTTATCAAATCTCAACAAGTYGTTTTTTAACCAGTTAACTTGAATAAGTGTTTTAAATAAGGCCATGAGTTTCCTCCGTGGTGGAATCCATATTGGACGTGCCGCCGCCGCAGCCACCGCCGCCGCCGCAGCCACCGCCGCTGCCGCTGCCGCTGCTGCTGCTGCCGCTGCAGCTGCTGCTGCTGTCGCTGCTGCTGCTGCAGATAACAGAGCAGGCAGGAGGGGGAGAAGAGCGGTGAACTTATTTCTGAGTTTATCCGACTTATTTAATTTTATTTTTATTGTTTTTATCGTCCTGCAGGCTCTGAGAGAAAATTAATTTGAAGCTGAGTTTTTGATAAAAATCGTTAGATTSTCTAAAYGTCTGTAAACCTGTAGAATGAGGTGAGATCTGTGTCAGTTACAGACAGTCTGTTCAGGTGAGCAGCTGTCAGTCAGCACCTGTCAACCTCCAGACACACGACTGAGCCTGTTTGAACYAACCAATCACATTTTTTTGACATTGATCAGCTGCACTGGTGGGCAGCGCTAATCCAAGGATTAGCTCCGCAATTTCTAAAGCGCTTATGAAAATATTTAGGTCTACAACAGGGCTATTCAACTGGCGGCCCGCGGGCCACATCCGGCCCACGACTGACCAAAGTTCGGCCCGCCAATTGGTTCATTATCTCTTAAGTCCAAACCCCCGGTTTTCTACTTTAATTACTCTAAGTTATTTTAAATAAACATAGACATGTTTGGTGTCTACAGAAAGGTCAGACTCTTTGTTAGAAGCTGGTAAAAAACATTTCTATAAACACTCAAGACAGTTAAAACTACAAGCAGTTAAAGATAAAATGATGAAAGTGAAAATAAAATTGGTTTAAAAAGTTGGCAAGTTAGAGATGTTAAAATATTATTTGTGTCTAATAGGGGTATGTGTTCTTTCTGTTTTTGATAATGTTTAATTATCACTACTTTTATAGGGTTCTGTATGTTTTATTCATGATTAAATGCAGCAAAATAAACTATTTTAAAGGTAACAGATCTTTGTAATACTTGGTTTATTTACATAATGACTTTAGTAACTGGATGTTCGGCCCCTCAGCTGTTGACCTGCAGTAACTGTGGCCCCCGGAGTGATTTAGTTGAATAGCCCTGGTCTACAACTTCAAACTGCCTCATGCCATAGAAAAACTAGCAGAAGCTAATTTTAAAGCACAAGTTCAATTTGACCCTTGTGACCTTTGAAGGAATAAGTGTGTACAGAACATCGATGGATAGCTGACAATTCATGTATAATATATGCACAACACTGCCAACTAGTGGTGTATGAAGATGAACTCTTTTACAGATTAATCCTACAACCACTGATTGCTGGGGATGTGATTTCCTGAAACAGACCTTTAGCTCCTGGTGTAAAAATCAAAAAGTTGTTGAGGATTGCTATTTCGGCTGCTTCTTTGTCTTTTTCTTTTGTTTGTTGTAGATTTTTCATTAAAGAAGCATCAATAAAGTAATTTTAAAACTGTTTATTGGAAAACWGAAGCGATGCATTCTGGGTACATGACGGATTTGATTTGTGACGGGAAACGAAAGCACGGAGTACAGGAAACTCTTCCCTTCAAAATAAGAGCTTGGATTTTAAAGTTTTCCATGTAGTTGCTCCAGTTGTCCACTAGATGTCAGTCTTCATCAGCATAACATCTTTAAATCATTTCTGAGTCTCTAACCGTGTTGCTTCGACCAATTACGTCACGTATTGAGCTCCAGGGTTTAAACTTTATTTTTTTTAGAAAAGGAGCTCTGATTGTAAAGTAAAATAAATCAATACATACAAATTTTAGTATGGATTACAAACATTAACTGTTTTTGCTGTTGCCTTCCTGCTACGTAAGCAGACACAAAGCATTGTGGGAAATCAGAACCGTGACCCAAAGCAACAGTCAGCAGGATGTATACCTTCACAATAAGAGTGTTTATCTGGGAGGGGTGCTGTTGGATAGATCACATGTTGTGATTCATTGACAGTCATTCCTTCTGCTGTTCAACATAATGATGACTGGTAGATAATTAGTTATTAGTGGTACTGTATTTTAATTTTAGAAAGGGCAAATCTGCTTATGAATTATAAGAATTAGTAAGACCGTTAAAGTGCAAATGAAATATTTAGGTCCACAATTAGTGGATTTGCACTTTAGTGGGCTGGTGCCCACCACTGACTGATTTAAATACATCTTAACATTCATGAGGTACTTTACATTGACTGTTTATGGTTGAGTGTGGGCGTGTAGAGGGTAGAACCTGAGGAGGAYCTTATGGTTGAGTGTGGGCGTGTAGAGGGTAGAACCTGAGGAGGCCCTCGTGCTCAAACTCTGACGTGAAGCTGTGATCTATAAAGGAAAGGTGCAGAAACATGCGTACGCACGGTTTTATAAATCTGAAGTTTTTTTAGCGTACGCCAGTTTCACCTTTTGGCTGTACGTTCACGTTTAGTACAGTATGGTTTCCACACAATCCTTTATAAATCTGACCCCAGACCTGTGTGCGTATGTAGACCTGTAACCTGTGTGATGTGCTCYCTGTGGTCCAGGTGATTCCTCCTGCTGTGTACCTCAGAGTGACAGAAAATGTGAATCATATCGTWGCGTTCATTCAGAGGATCATCAACAACGGCCACGCCTACAGCACAGCTGAAGGTGAACACATAGCTGCCTCTGATAGCCACACGTTTTGACAGYAGTAACATTAATGTTGTGCCTCGGCTGCAGGGGATGTATATTTTGACGTGCAGTCTATCGGGGACAGGTACGGGAAGTTTGTTGGAGCTGTGAGTCCTCAGGGGGAGCACAGTAAGTCTTCATATCTTAAGACTTTTTTGATTTCTTCCACAGAAGATTTGATTTAAAAACTGGTTGTCTCTGCAGCCAGCCCAGGAAAACGAGACCCGAGGGATTTTACTTTGTGGAAGACCTCCAAACCTCAGGAGCCATACTGGGAGTCTCCCTGGGGCCCAGGAAGACCAGGCTGGCACATCGAATGCTCTACTATTGCAAGGTCTAACTAGAACCAGTCTGACTAGAACCAGTCTGACTAGAACCAGTCTGACTAGAACCAGTCTGACTAGAACCAGTCTGACTAGAACCAGTCTGATAACAAACCAGTCTGACTAGAACCAGTCTGACTAGAACCAGTCTGACAAGAACCATTCTGACAAGAACCATTCTGACAAGAACCATTCTGACAAGAACCATTCTGACAAGAACCAGTCTGACAAGAACCAT